TAAAACACAACAAAATCGAAAGTGCATAATATTTAACACCATTCAGACAAAGAAAGACAATAGCATTCCCAAGGAGGGTTGACGTCAGGCAGGCGGCCGGTCGTAAAACTTTTGCCAAATCCTATCAGCAGTACACTGAAGATGTACTGCGTCGACCCCAAGTGATTTGGGAAATGGGCAGGGAGAAGAAGAAGAAGAAGATGTGCTTATTGCTTATTGAAATTTACTGTGTTCCCTATTTTTCTGTATTAAAACTAAAGGTTTCCTTGACCGATAATAATGAAACCAATATTTATATCATACTAGCACTGCCCGCGGCTCCGCTCACGTTCAGATGACCAAAAACCAAATTCTTAGGTTTTACATATTAGTATACTCTTACATTGCAGTTTTTGTATTTTTTTCTCAGAAATGAGATATTTTCCCGCGGTAAAAAGTATCCTAGATCTTGACCCGGATAACCAGCTATCACCATATTAAATTTCATCAAAATCCCTCCGGTGGGTTTTCTGTGATGCGGTAACAGACACATACAGATAGACAGACAAAAATTCTAAAAATTATAGATTCGGTCTCTATATGGATAATAATGTTTATTTCAATAAGATTTTTCAAAAAGTATTTAATGTACAGATTCGGCTTACATACAATTTTATTATATGTATAGTTTTTAGTTTGGCGTGGAGGACTATGCTTTACCTCCCGCATTGAGACAAGGCCCGTGTCCAACAGTGGCACTCTAAAAGAGCTGAATTATAATTAGTTTTACTATTTTATCTTCTTCGCCAATCACGTCTTACATCGACTATGTTTAAAACTTTATTGTACATTGCATATTTAGCCACAGTTTCGATATGTAGCGAATGGGTTTTAATTCTCAACTTTTAATAGCTTCGAGGCTGGTTACTGGGGCGGAATTCTTGTAATGGAAATTTGAAATATAAATATACTTATTTACTTTGGCAAAGCCTATTTGTAATTTTCAACGGGGAATATCAGTTGGGTTTGTTTTATAGACGATAGGCGTGGTACAATAGTGTTTTACTAGTATATCTTTGCGGAGGTCGTAGGTTTTATGCCTGGACGAAGTACATTTTTTATATTAGTTAGACGAGTAAACAGATATCTCTATATTTTAATTCGTGAACATCATAAAGTCCTGGCTAAGATAAAATGAATATAAGCACAAAAAGAAATAATAGTATTTTTCAAAATGTATTATGTAAAAACCAATAAGAAAACGAGATTCGGTTTTTTTATAAAACCTTTTTTTACATGATTACTATTTATTACAGAAGTAGAGTTCAAAAATCCTGAATATATACGTTAATTGTCTATACATATAATAAAATTGTAACTAAGCCGAATCTGTACATTAAATATTTTTTGGAAAATCTAATTGAAATAGACATTATTATCGATACAGAGTCCGAATCTATAGTTTTTAGAATTTTTGTCTGTCTGTCTGTCTGTCTGTCTGTCTTTCTTTCTGTCTGTCTGTCTGTCTGTTGCCGCATCACGAGAAAACCACTGGACAGATTTTGATGAAATTTTGTATATGATAGCTGGTTGTCCGGGTCAACATATAGGATACTTTTTACTGCGGGAAAATATCTCATTTATGAGAAAAAATGCAAAAACTTCATTGTAAGAGTATACTAAAATGTAAAGCCTAAGAATTTGGTTTTTGGTCATCTGAACGCGGGCGGGGTCGCGGGCAATGCTAGTCTTAAATAACGTTTTTCACGAAAGAACACCGTCTTAGATTTTATATTCTACGTCTGAAATCCAAAATGGCTGTCTGAAATATTTATTAAAGTGTCATTACAGTTTACTTCAAAGTTCTACAAAGTACAATAAAACTATTTGTTTTAGCCATTTCGCTGAAGCGTAGACGAAACATATTTTCCATCTGCCCTAGTAATCATTTCAAGCACGTATCTCTTCTGTAAACCTTTCACGTACTTTCATACCTATTATTTACATTGTGATTTTTAATTACACTTGCTTCTTTCTATGTGTTTTATATCGAACTAGCGACTTGACCTTGCTTTGCTTAGGTGCGTCCGTAGGTATGATTTAAAAAGATATGAATAATTATTTGACCACACGTTTGGCTCAGTTTGTAGTGACTCTACTTGCTGTGTGAGCGGTCGCGGGTTCGAGTCCCGCTGGGGCCATTCATTTGAGTGATGAACACGAATGTTTGTACTACAGTCATAGATGTTTATATTTATAATATGTATGTATTTAAAGTTATATATGTGTAGTGTATCAACTATCTGGTATCCTTATGGATACCAGCTGGCTTGAGTTATCTCAAGCTTCGTAGCTTATCATGGAACTAGATGGTGCTGTGTGTTAATATCCCAACATATTTAAAAAAAATGATTGCGAGTGTACCTTAGGAGAAAGACCTATGCTATTGTAGACTTTTCTGTAAGCTTTATTAAGACCTAAAATTTTCTAGTAGATTGTTTTAATGTACCTCTTAAGGTTTAGCCAGCGTTAGATATGTCTAAGAACGAATCGATAGAACCAGTTATTGTTTTTCCGTAGGAATTAAAGATTTTATTGTAGTAAAAGGTATCCTTAATGTTATCCGTAATAAATTATCACTGAACAAAATTTAGTTAAAATCGATTCAGGAATTTTGTGAGTGAATCGCGCACATCGATTTTGCTAAGTTACTGTTTTATTTTATGTATCTATAAACTAGCGACGTAGGTGCCTTTTGTATTTATAAAATTTTATACAGACAGCGCTACTTTTTGGCATATTTTATTAGTCATAGTAGCCTATGTGAAACTACAGGTTGTAGTATATCTGTGTACTCATTTCCATCCAAATCTGTCCAGCCGTTTTGCCGTGAGAAAGTAACAAACAGACACACATACAAATTTTTCTATACATAATGATGGTGTAATTTAGAACAGCGACATATTTTTACGCCATTGTAAACTATTCTTAACTTTTTTAGAGGTCGTAAATGAATGAGTTAATTTTTATGACTTTCGATTTTTAGACTACATATTTACTTTAAGTTTATTGGAAAAATTTTAATAAATATGCCTCTTGGACAAGGTGACTTCTAAATTTGATATGTTTAATGGAAAAATAATTGTGAAAGACATATATGTATATACCCAACAGTGATAACCCATCAATAACGCGGTCTTTGAAAACTGAAGTGAAACGATTTCAAGACTTGGGTTTTGCCCATGGTTGAACATGATTACCACCTGTCTTATGGCGAAGATAAACATCGCAAGGAAACTTTGTTTCGGGAATTTTTAATAGACACGTGAGGGTAGTACTACCCGCTCCTTACCAGTGCGGTAGACTATGTTGTATGACCTGATCCCCCTCATGTTGAGGGTGGGTCTGGACTAAGCAGTGGGACGTTATAAAGGCTGAATTATTATGATATACTTTTTGATTCGTTAGATAGAATTTTCGGTAGTCGTTGAAAAATAGCTCACATCTTAATATATATAATTCTTCTGTTCGTGTGTTTGTCAACTTACTCCTCCTAAAGGGCTGGGCCGATTTGGATGAAAATTTGTGTGTATATTTCAATGGACTCCTGGATGGTTTGAAAATACAATAGGACCCGGTAGGTGACGCTGCAGTCGGTGTCTCAAAGCGGGTACTGCTAGTTTTTAATATAATTTTACAAGTAATCACAGATAAAGCGACGTTAAGCGTAATATCAAAAGTTGGTAGAGCTTACAGGATCGATTCCTGCTCGAGGTTACTTGTTGTATGAGTCACACAAGGAGTTGTAAACATACATTGTATGTGTCATACATACAATACCTAATCTAGAAGATGTGCTTGTTGTGTGCATCGTTATGATAATACCATTTGTATTTTGTACGATGGAAGTGAAATTAAAGTGATGTGCGAATTCATTAAAACCGAAGTCGGTCGGGTTGAAAGGCCTACTTTTGGTGAAAAGTGGGACATTTTCATCACTGCAGTATAGTATCGCTTTGGAACAATTTTGCGGATATTGCGATGGCTCTGGTCTTTATTACATACTTCCTTTTGGCCGTTTAAATACTTTTGTTCTTAATGGATCATTAAGGATATATTAAATTACTTAAATATATCTAACTAGCAGTACATACATACACATATCGATTTTTATATAGATTACTCAGATGTGAGATATTTTACCGCATTAAAAAGTATCTTATATTTGACATGTATAACCAGCTATCATCATAACAAATTTCATCAAAATCTGTCCAATGGTTGCCTCATGATACGGTCACAGACAGACAGACAAAAATTCTAAAAATAATAATGACTATTTCAATAAGATTTTCCAAAAAATATTTAATGTACAGATTCGACTCACTTAGAATTTTATTATATGTATAGACTAACTGATTTACAGGACTAGTTATGCGTCATAACCATTACCAATCTGTTCCATAAGAGTGGAATACTTTGCGTAAATCATCGACTGAAGCTAATGATACTATTGTTAGCGTCGAATTGTTATGAATGAGAATTTTAAAAAATACAAAGAACATGAACAATGATAAAGTACTCGAAAATATGAATCAGTATAAAACTTGGCCTTGTAAATTTATTTCGCTGAATTTGTACTCTCAATATTAAACTCGTTTTTTCAATAAAACTTTATTAAAACAACGATGATATGAATTTGTAAAACTAAATTGAGTTAGAAGACCGTCTGGTCTTCTTTTAATTTAAAAATGAGGTTAAAAATAAGTTTGTGATATATGTACCTATATGTTGTATATACGTCAAAAAAAATCGTTTATAATAGACGAATATATTAGAATAGAATATACACTCTATTATTTTGTGTATTTTATTACTTTAGAATTAGTTTTCTTTTTTTTTTAAATAAGTTACACATCAAGGGTGGTCTTATATGAAGTGAAAAGTGCCAGAGCGATCTACCTCTTCTTTGAAGTCGGTTTAAAACAAAAATAAAAAAATTACGCTAGATAATCACTCACCTCAACAAAATTGTCGGACACAAATCTTTGTACCAACGATGTTTTTCCACACTGTGTGTCTCCTACTAGTACCACTTTTACTTCTTCTTCGGTCGGGGAACCAGCACCCCCCTCGGAGCACTTCTTTCCCGACCACATGATTTTACCCTGCAATAAAAAATTTGATTATCTATCTATATATAGTATATATAAAAGGCAAAAGTGATTGACTGATGTATCAACGCACAGGCCAAACCTAAGGCTAGAAAATTGAAATTTCACACACGTATTCTTCATATTACGAACACATTCACTAAGGAAGGGTTTTTCAAAATTTAACCCCCATGGGGGTGAAATAGAGATGAAACTTTGTATGAAACTTTTTATTCCTTGGACATATTTGCATGAAATTTCGTATGAATACGGCAAAATAATGAGTTACGTATTTCAGTGTTTTCTAAAATTCCACCCCTAAGAGTGTAAAATAGGAAAGTTTTTATGAAACCTAATTTTTACAGTTTTTTTTGTTTTTTATAGTTTCAGCGCGAGCAAAGCCGCGGGTTCTGCTAGTTTATTATATTACACCTAAATTAAAATAACGTATATATAATAAGCCCGTAAATTAGGCTCGTCTTCGTCGTCAGACTTGCTAGAATGGACACGATTTTAGATACAATGGAAAGATGATAGTAGAAGGACAATATAGGTATAGATGTTGTAGCTAACTTAGAAGAATAGTATTAGGTGGGAGAAGTTAAGGAAGCCTACACTAAAATAGCCGAAGGAGGCTCGGATAAAATATAATATAAAATATTATTAGAAAAAAGAACCGATGATTATCAACTTAACTATGATTTTAGTGCAACAATTAATTTCGGGTTTTCCACAGAGAACAAAAGTTATTGTTAAATATCTAAAGTTTTCTTTAAACATCGCGTGTTTTAATCATTTGAACCCCCATGTATTTTGGAAATAATCAATATTTTTTGATGTACTTTTTAATCCCGTTTTTCTCAAATTTTTCCTTAAAATTACCAAATTTCTAGTTTTTTTTTCTAGAAGGTTTAGAGGTTAGGAGGGTAAAAAAATAGGATGTAACGAACAGATAGACAAACATATATCAGTGATTTTTTTTAGATTCCATTTTTCTTCATGTGTATTGCACGTTAAAATACAATATGAAATTTTTGATACAGCCACAGCTTATGTATTATTTATTTAATTAATTTAATTCGTAATAACAAAATGGATACAAATACACTCATTAATATAATAACAATTATTGTGTAACAAAACATGAGCAATAGACTTAAAATTTAATATTTTAAAAGTAATAAGACAAATACTATATCAATTTTCAACTGAAATTGGAGCAAATATCCTAAACATGGAGATCAAAATGATAAGTGGTCAATTTGGATTTATTACTGTCTTAAAACAGCATTTCTGCTTTTTACGATACGTCTATTTTCCTTGATATGGCTCTGTATAGATTTATGTATAGAGATCTATGTAAGGAGTTTTATGTCATGTTTGAAAGAAATTTTGCTTGCAATACCCTTAAAAAGATTTAATAATAGTATACTTATAAGCACACTTAAGCCACAGCAAAGCTTTTTTACCTTACTTTTCGTGCTTTTCACTGCATAAAGTACTATTGCACGGTGATCACCTTCAACAATTTTTTTTTTTAAATTAGGTCTGTCTGTCTGTTTGTTCCGGCTAATCTACAAAACGGTAGGACCAATTTTGACGAGACTTTTACTGGCCGATAGCTCATATTTATAAGAAGTAACATAAGCTACTTTTCTTTTGGAATAAGAAGTACGTTTTCACGCAAAAAAATACCTTTGAAATTGTGAACAAAAACCGCGCAAGCGAGTTGTTAGTAATCTATACATATAATAAAATTGTAAACAATAGTTTTTAGAATTATTGTCTGTCTGTCTGTTACCGCATCACGAGAAAACCACTGGACAGATTTTGATGAAATTTGGTATGATGATAGCTGGTTATCCGGGTCAACATATAGGATACCATTTACCGCAGGAAAATATCTCATTTTTGAGAAAAAATACAAAAACTGCATTGTAAGAGTATACTAATATGTAAAACCTAAGAATTTGGTTTTTGGTCATCTGAACGCGGGCGGAGCCGCGGGCAATGCTAGTTAATAAAAAAAGTACACTATTTAACCGTTACCATGACATTTATAAGCTATGAAATAGAGGCAAGTAATAAGCTGTGGCTAGTGACAGTCATTATTTTTATGAGTTACCGGCGACCAGAGCTTCAGCATTAAAGGCAAATAACAACGTTCGAACAAGCATAAAGTACTCGTAACATTACATCCCATAAAAAATATACTGTTTAAGCTTACATTTTATCTATTTCTCCAGAATAACATGTCACTTTAATTGTAGTATAAAAAATAATTTCTTCATCGTCTTTCATATTGAGTAACTCACTACCTTCTATATATTATCTAGTGCCAATCAGCTGAATTCTACAAACCGTAGTGATTGTTTAATTTTTGACTATAGTGTAATTTAAAATTCTCCCCAGTGTGATAAACTATTTGTTTATAACAAAATAACTCTTTTTTTAGGTGGTCGAAATTTCATGATCATAATTGAAAATTTGAGAAAAACATATATGAACAGAAGTTACACATCTATATAAAAAAACGTGTGTGTGTAATTATGTACGCACGTAAGAAATTATACTTTGGCGTATCAGAATAAAAATAGCTAAAGATTTCATCCCGTATGTCACAACTCTCTGTTTGTAAAAGGAATGATAACTTAACAAAATAATTAAATAAGGCATATTACAATTATATATTTATTTGTCAGACAATAACAACGGTTACCATGGCAACAAACAGTTATCGTCTAACTTCATTATGTAGCTTTTTGGCTGTCGGTGTGCGCGCGCATCATAAAAATTTTACTCTCATAATTTTTCCAAGCGTCCCAAAAGAAGTACAACTTCCAAAAAAGAAGTAACACTTTCCTAAAGCTCGTCAATAACTAAGTACTAAGCAAACAAAAACAAAGGAAATCGGTTGGTGAACAGAGGAGAAAATGGGGTACTTTACTGTTTTGTCTTTGCCTATTTATATACAAACATATGTTTATATATATATATATATATATATAAATATATATATATATATATATATATATATACTAATATTATAAATGTGAAAGTTTAGATGGATGTTTGTTACTCAAACACGTCAGTATGACTAAACGGATCTGGATGAAAGTCATAGAGATAGATTAGAGTCTGGAATATAGTATATAGTAATCTATGTGTACTTTTTATTACGAAAAAATCGGTTCCCGTGAGATAGATTTGTTTTATTAGAGGCAAACCCGAGCCAAGCGAGGATGATCCGTTAATATGTACATATACACACATTATACATTATACATATTATCTTACAGCTTATCAGTCAACTTAATATTATCAAGAAATGTCTCATCAGATTCATTAATTGTTCATCTATTAATTACTCTACATATACAAATTATACATATATTATGTTGAAATGCATTCCATTAAGCAAATTATTTTAATGTACTATACGTTATTTGATTAAAATTATGAAAATTATGGCGCCAGGTCAATGATTTTGTACAGTATACGACTAGTTTGTGTGTTTTAATTTGTGTAAAATGTGAGTAAATATTTAAAAAAGTAAACACGTTCAACAACGTTATTCGCTATAGCAACTTCGTGCTTTGGTACGTTTTTATGGCTAGAATTTTTTAAATGCTTTACAGCAAACGGGATAAACTTAAGATTTTTTCGTCTCAAAAGTCATCGTTATTACAGACGATGAATAATGTAAAGAAATGTAAAGACATTGCTATTTGATTTCTTAAGTGAAATCTTTAATTTAGTAGACCTTATGGTATTCGGCCATATCTTCATTATATAGTATAAAACTGTTGTAATCTGTGGTAAATATTATAATCTTTTTATTCTATATATAGCGCCATATATTTCCTCTCTCCTAATGTTCATGTTCTATATAATAACATTACCTGTCATGGCGTTGTGTATAAGTATTTCTGTGTTCGAAAGTTATAAAATAAATATATAAAATAGTACTGGTCTTTCTGTCCCTGTCTGCCTGTCCCTATGTAGGTATGCTTAGATCTTTAAAACTACGCAACGGATTTTGATTAGTTTTTTTCAATAGATAGAGTGATTCAAGAGGAAGGTTTATATGTATAAATACATGCATATTATATTAAAGAAAAGTATTTCATACTAATCATTAAAACGTACCGCTAGTTTACTATAAATAGTTTTCGGCCAATGGCCAAAATTCGACCATAATCATTATATAAAAAAAACTAACTGTTTCCAAAAAGTTTTAATAACAACTGACTAAAGCTCGTCAATGGCTACTAAACAAAAAATAGCAAATCCTTTGACAAACAGAGAAGAAAAAGTACTGAACTATTTTGTCTTTGCCTATTTATATATAGATAATATTGTAAATGCAAAAGGTGTTCTTTATTCTCGCAGCTAATCTAAAATCGAATCTATTTCTTACAAGAGATTTTACGTCCAAGATCGACATACACTTTACATCAAATGTTATGAAATGAATGTATCTCTGGAATAAGTTAACCAAGAAGGATCAGTTAATAAAAATATTATAATTTTGTGCAATTAATCAGCAAAAGCTCCAGAAACTAGTCTTAAATTTAATAGCGTTATTTATTATGTAAAATACAAATTTAATCAAAATCAGTGGAAGACATTTATTACAGAAAAGCTTTATTAGAGGTGACCCATATAAAAGATGTACAAAGTTGCTCTCGAGTTTCCTGAACAAAAATAGGGTCAGTGTTCCGAATTTTTAACAAGTAAAAAATATTTTAATACAGTCGCTACCAACAATCATAAAAATGCTCAACTTTGGGAATGAGTGCTTTTTTATATCAATTCGACAATAAATTAAATTATCTTTAAGAATACTGAAGTTTTAAATAGAATAAAAAAGTAAAAGAATAAATCTGTGAAATAATCCGAACTGATAGTATTATTTAAAACTAGCAGAACCAGCAGCTTCGCTCACGTTAAAACTACAAAAAAAAACTCGAAAAGGGTAGTTTCATACAAATTTTCTTCCCTAT